GAAGTCAACTATCCGTCGGACGAAGGACAACGCAAATTGAAAGGAACTCTAGACAGAAACGAAATTTGTCCACCTACAAGTTGACCAGACCTAGAGAAGAGTCAAAGCATCAAGTCAAAAGCTCAGACGAAGGTCAAGTTTTGAGATGCATAGGACTAATAGACGAAGACGAAAACTACCATGAAAGAATTTAAGGAATTGCTGTGAGTAACTATTAAGCCTACTCTGGACCTAACACTTTGAACTTTTCAACCTTGCTTCCCACCTCTGTTACTACGCCAGCTAACTCATGTCTGCACCATTTATTACACTAGTTAGAATCAAATTGAATTTATAGTACTAGATATTAACAATATATTTGATAAACAAGACCAGATGAGATAAAAGCAGACCAGATTTTTATTTGAGGGTGTGTATGAGTGTGACTCCACATTAATTGAGAAATTTGTGGAGTGTAAAAAAGTAGGAAGCATACCCCGGAACCATTGGATAGATGGAAGTGCCCCATTCGTTCTTCACACTGTGGAGATCCGAGTGGCATATCCCACAGTACAGCACTTTGAATGCCACATCTTTCTCACCCGTTTCCCTGAAATTTTAATTTCACGAAACAAAAAATGAGAATTGAGCAGTGTGCAACTTCGTCTTTTTCTCATCACTTATTTTTTTATAAACTTGCTACTAGCTATTAGTATTATTATTGTAACATCAGATTTTTAGCACATCCAATAAAAGTATTCACTGTACGAGGAAAAATTGAAAAACCAGGAAAATGTTTCATTAGACAAGGTTGTTATCATTTTCATTATAAAAAAAAACTCTATATGCTGTAACAAATAAATACTAAGATGTATTGTATGAAGAGATGAACGTACCTTCTGGAGAAATTGAAAGGGGAGAGAAGACCAGAAGGATCCCTTGCTGCCCATCCGAATGCCTTGTTGGGATGCTCAAATTCTGGCTGCACTTCCATTTCAATGTTATAAGTGTTCGTCTCTCTCTTAGGGTAACAAAGATGTGATGTATATGAGAGTGATGAGTAAGACTAAGAGCAATGCATGCAGGAGGTGGCCAAAGATGTATTTATATATCTATTATTGTATTTTATATATTCACGTATTTATTTGGTGAGTGGTGACGTAGTTCAGGCATGGGTTGAGTTCCTTGCTGGAAAAAAGAAAAAGAAAAAAGCACTACTGTTAGACGTATTTGGCGACTTTTCTTCGTAGCAAGGATTTTTCTTTGGTTAAAAATATGCTTATTATATTGATATATTTATTTATAAAATATTATAATAATCACTGCAATAAATATTAAATATAATGACATACAAAAAAAATGTCACTACAAATATAATATATGTAGATATAAATTGATATATATTTATACATAATTTTAATGCATGTTGATTTTGAATAAGATTTAGTAACATATATTGAATGTCACTTTAATTTGTATCTACATTTTTTAATAATAGATTAACAAATATCTTATCCATTATAGAGATAAAAAATAATTTTAATAACAAATATTGTGTTAATACACAAGAAAAAAAATTTTTCCAGTGAATTATTGTGTTTTTGTTTATCTTATTTTAAGAATTCATTTTGAATTGGTATGAAAATTAATATATTTAATAAATAAATATTAAAATTAGTAAGTATACTATATTTAATAAATATAATATTTTTTATATTACCAATATTTTTTTAATAATTTAATAAATTACTACTATTTACGGATGAAATTAATTTATTTTGTCTTTATAATAAATACAATAAACAATAATATGTAAAGAAAATCCGCTTATTCGTATATTTAGAAAATATTTCAGGAATAAAAATAATTATTATACTAATTTTATGCCTTTTATATTTGCTTACTCGTATATTTAGAAAATATTTCAGGAATAAAAATAAATATTATACTAATTTTATGCCTTTTACATTTTCCCTTAATAATATATTTTAGGTAAAATTTTAATAAATATGCTATTCTATATTGTTACAGGAACTATGTGTGTGTCACTAATTAAAATCTATTTTCTTAATTTTTTTTTTGGTTCGTCATTGGAGTATCTACCGCTGATAACGGTGACTAATCTTCTCGCTACGTTATCTATTTTCTTAATTTGGTAAAAATGCATTAATTATAAATTTTTTAAATAGATTTTAATTGGTTAAAGAAAGATGAATATTAATTAAGAGAGAGAAATAATATAGAACATGTATTATATATTGATTAGAACATATATAAGTATTAATTAAGAAAGAGAAGTAATATAAGAATAGTTTTAATGTGTGTGTGTAATATTTACTAATTAATGAAATATAATACTAAAAAGTTTTCAAATTTTTTTAAAACTTTGTAGACTTGATCTATACATTATAAACTTTTAATTTAATAGTTGGGTTGTTAAAATTTAATGTAGAACATGAGTTATTAAGTAGAGTAAATCTAAGTAAACTTATTTTTAGAACAAGTGAATCTCTTATCTCTTTCTCTCTATATATATATGTTTCCCTTTCATAATACTATAAAATAATACATTTATTAAAATATTAAAAAAAACATATTATTTAGGATCTGTTTGGTTTAAGAGGTGATGAATTTTAATGGAGGGGAAGGGGAGGGGAAGGAAAAGGGAAGGGACAAGTTAGGAAATTTTTTTGGTTGACAGTAAGGGAATTGGGGGAAATAACTTTTTTCTTGTTTGATTCACAAGAAGATCAAAAGGAAAGATTTTCAAAATTAATTTATTTTTTTATTCTTATAATTTTAATTTAATAACATAAATAAGAATATTTTAAATATCATATTAAATTTTTTTAAAATCTTTTCTCACCTTCCAAATTACCCTAATATTAATTGGAGACAACCTAAAATTTGGTTAAAAGAGATTTTGTTTTTGTTTCCTCTTTTCCTAAAAATTAAACCAAACAAATTTTTTTTAAAAGATCTCTCCCCTCTCCTCCATTTCCCTCCAACCAAACATTATATTAGTAAAAAGATCTAATTGATTGGCAGTGTAAAAAAATTTTACACACATTTTTATGATTTTTTTTTTGTCAAATTGAATTATTGAAATGAAATATCATATGATTTTTTTTAAAAAAATTTGTGGACTTTATCTATACATGAGAACTTTTAATTTAATGGTTGAATCATAAAATTTGATGTATAATATAAGTTACTGAATGTGATAAGATTACTTATACTTATTCTTGAAGTAAGTGAATCACTATATATATATATATATATATATTAAATAAATTAATACTATACAAAAAAGAAAATATTTTTATTTTTGAATACTATATTATATTAAATAAATACAAGAAACATGTTTGTTGATATATTAAAAAAAACATTATACGTACTAACATCAAATATATTAATTGCTGTGCCTTTATTTATTTTACTAAAATCTTATATTTCAAATGTATATAGATTGATACGAAAAACTAATACATTTAATAAATATAACATATTCCAAATTTCCAATATTACCTATGTTGAAGCGAACCATGTAATTTTTCGAGTGAACCGTGTTAAAATCATTAAAACACACTCATCTTGTAACGTTCAATTTTCTCTTGTAACGTTCAATTTCTCGTGGTAAGTGTGTATTTGGATTGCAGTTGCGAAATTAAGTTTAGTTGAAATTGATATTATAAATTTAAGTTTTTTTTTGGTGTTGAAATTTAAGTTTAGATAAAAATAAATTTAGTATAATTTAATTTATATTTAAATACTTTTATTTATAAAAAAAAACTGTCAAAGTAAAAATTATTTGAATAATATTAATAAAAAATACCTTCATATGAATAATTATTAAGATGAGTATAAATTTTACATTGTGATATTAATATTGTTTATTTCGTTATTTTTTTAGTATATTTGAATTGATAAAAAATTTGTTGTTATTATTTTATATTATGATATTAATATTATTAGTCAAGTTTATTTTTAATAATTTTTTATGAATTAATCACCTATACACTGTCAGTGTAAAGTTTTTTTACACTAGCAGTCAATCAAAGCCGTTAATAATGTCTTTTCATCTGTTCATTTAATTAAATTAAAATATAAAAAAATGTATTATTAACGGCTCTGATTGATTGTCAGTATAAAAAATTTTATACTGGCAGTGTATAAGTGATTAACTCTTTTTTTATTATTAACAAAATTAAATGTTTGTAAAATCAAATGTTATAGATGAAAGGAGAGTGAATCAATGAGATAACTTCCTATTATCGATCATTTGACATTCAACGGGAAAGCATTATGAGTGTTGCTTTGAAAGCAACAAACTTTTAAAAGAGAATAGGGTTCAGCTATCAACTTTGGGAAAAAATTTCCCAAGAATCAGGTGTGGCATTCCACAAAAAATTGAACGTCCATTTGGCTATCTAAAGAGTAAACCAAACACACTTTAAGTTTTAAGAAATCTATTCAATTCTCTCCGGAATTAGGAAGCATAATCTATTCAATTATTTGATTTATTTCACTTACTCCATTAGGTTATGCTCCATGTCAATATGGTCTCACCATTTATACAATTTTTTTATAAAAAAAAACATGAAAAATGCACACCAAACAAGAATTCATCTTTGAATAAGATGAGTGCTAGCAATACACTCTCTAACATACTCATTTAAACACACATTCTTTAATTGATTGAAATTTAATTAAAAGTACAAAATCAAAAGAGACAAAGAGTTATCAAATAGATATTGTATTGCTAACATTTTGTATTTTTCAAAAAATTTCAACCAATTAAAGAATGTGTTTAAAATAGTGTGTTAGATATTGTATTGCTAACATTTTTTCTTTGAACTAATGCAAACATAATAACAACAAACATTGTAACAACCAATAGGTCATCACACTTGGTACTACACAACAACATACAAATAGTAGAAAACATAAATCTTCGACCATATGATTATCATGCAAATAGTCTCTATATATTCATCTAACAATGTACATAAATAGGGTACAAGAAAACACAAAACCAATTTATACTTATATGACTGAAAACATAAAGTCTTTTATGGAATTACAATCATCATTGTATATATACAAATATTTACAAACATATACAACTCCAACAAGGATTGAAAAAACAAAATCCTAGGTACAGATTAAGAAACTTAATTTATATACACATGCCTGCTTATCAAAACAACTCTAGCCAAAAGCCCATCAATTCCCAAGCTTGCTCTCTTGCTAATCCTAACATTCTCTCTAACTAAATAAGATCATTGCAGTCCAACACATAGAAAATAAGAGTAAGCTTGAGTAACAAAAATCAACGTATAAAAAAAAAGCTTGATAGTTAACTATCTCAACATTAACAACTTTTCAAATTCATCATAAATCAACTTATAAACAACTTGAATACAAGAAACAACATTCAATTCTACCAACATAACAACATTTTTCACACTTTTAATTATCTTCATCAACATAAACTTCAATTAGTTGAACAACTACTACTACAAGATGTATTATCTACATCAGTTCTACGAAGTAATCTACATCGGTTCGAAAACGGATGTAGATTTATGCAAAATCTACATCAGTTTTGCTGACAACCAATGTAAATTTGTGTACAAATCTACATCGGCTGTCAGTAAAACCGATGTAAATTTGTACACAAATCTACATCAGTTCTATTGAAAACCGATATAGATTGTATTTTTTTTATTAAAAAAAATTTCATTTATTTTTTAGATTTTTTCTGATTACCTATAGTAAACATATATATATATATGGATCTTAATGTTAATCAATATGGATCTTTAATTAATAATTCAATATCACTTAAATAAAGATAATTTCCATGCCAAGATATACAATAAAAACAAATTATCTCCCATTATCAGGGTTCCCTGAAGCACATTATGTATGATCATGACATTCATTTGAGAATCCAACTCAGAAATCTATATAGAAAGCTGAGAAGCCAGGCAGAAAAAACAAATCATACAAAGAGACTAACAATGAGATGGAAAAAATCATATTCTATCAAATAAGTGTCATTTTTAATCAGCCTCTTGCATTGAAATTTTAAAGGGAAATTTGTAAGGTCAAGTTTACCTCTAACAGTGCGAATCTTCTCAATGAACTTCTTTGCAATAATGCCAGAGCTAGAGACACTTAATTGACTCTCTACACGACTAATACTACCGGATGCTCGGATAATGGCTATAAGTTCTTTTCCACCTGGTATTCCAACAGTCCATTTCCTAACTCGGGAGTATTTCCTGTATTTAATTGATGCAAGAAATATTAAGGTAAAATATATTATTTTGTATATTTTATTTATCATATGGAGCATCTGTTAGTAACAAAAGTAGGAAAGAAAAAGGAAGCAATAGTATGTCATCCGTAAACTCTAATTTACATACATGCATGTTTGTTAAAGATTAATTCTGGGAAAATAATCACTTTTTATTTATTTATTTATTGCTTATAAAAGCTCTCTCAAAAAGCTACAAATAATAGAAATGACTATTCTCCAAAATAAATTATTCCATAAAAGCATAAGCCACAAAAAAGAAATGACTACTTTATTTTTTCTTTTTAAAAGTTCTCTCGAGAAGGTACAAATGCTGGCCAAATGCTTGAACAAGAAGAAGATATTTCAAACGAAATTTTTTAGTGCATTATATATTTATTAATGTTGTCTGCAACGTAAATAAAAATTAATTGTAGATTTGTGTTTCCTAAGTTTAATATTAAAGGGTGTTTGAGTAAAGATCTTAATTAACCATACGAGAGCTTACAACTTAAGAGTTTATTCACATGTTTGATTGTGAAGCTTAATAAAATAAGCTCAAAATTAATCAATATAATTCCACATTGTATTTGTATCAAACTCTATTTTAAAATTACACATGTATAGGATGTGCTAGTAACCAACAGGAAAACTGTTTTACATTTGGAATATTACCTTTCAATAACATGAATCAAATCTTGAAAGAAAATTCCAAAATCAAAGTAGCTAATGAACTAAGCATCATTCTTTTTACATATTAGAATGCTAGAATTGCAACAACATAATTTGAAAGATGGTATAATGAATAACACCAGCACCGTGCCAAACATATCAACAATTAGTAACTTAATGTCTAGTAACATCCCCTTTGAAGCAAAGAGGTGGAGGGAACCTCGGTTTCCAAAATAATCATCAAATCAGGGTGAAAAAAGAAAGATAGCCATTGATATTAATGATTCTTTTAAAGGGAAGTTTGATTTGGACTTATTTGATTGTAGAAAATATTACCACCCCTTGAACAATAGTCTAAATTGCTAACATTGAAAGTAACGTGATGATTTGGGAATGAAACCTGTAAGTGGCAGAAGGTGTATTTTATGAAAATACGGAATGAGAATTTCCCTAGTTAGATATTTCTAAAGTAAAATTTTAGCCAATTGAAATAAATAGCATAATCCATGGTACATTCTCAAAAGCATGTATAAAAATTTCTACCTGTAATCCACCATTGGCAGATCTTTATCTGATTTCACTCCTTCAACATGGCAATAATCTACAAAACATTTAAGGTTTCTTATCCTTTTAACCCTTTGTTTCATATTCACATCCTTCAAAACATTTATTTACCAGCATAAATTATCAATATATATGAATACAGCCAACTGTGAAGACAGTAAAATCCACATTAGTTAAATGAAGAAGCAATAAAAATAACAAACTTTTAGTGAGCAGGACAAAAGTTCTTTATATTGAGGAATTTTTTCATTAAAAAGTATCCACCACTAATCATTGATGAGATTCCATTTTACTCTATTATTATATTAATAAAGATGACAAACTACATGTATGAATAGTCTATCATATAACATAATTGTTGCTCACAATGGAAATACAGTGATCCTAGGTGAACTTTACCAATGACATTACAAGTTCCGATCCATAAGTCTGCCACTATGAAGAGGTCTTTAACTAGTCACCACCCCTAGCTGAGGGTTAGCCTCACAAGTCACAACTATGCCTATGGGAGTAGCAATCGAAGATCAAATTCGTTGCTCATAAAACAAAACTTAGGAATAACTACGTACCTCATCATCGTAGATTATATTTGATATGAGTCCCTCTTCTTTCAGCTTGTCTACTTGATAAACACCTTCATTTATGAATTTCTCAATATCTTCTCTTCTTTTTCCTGTATTAAAGTTCAGAAACCAACCAGTTATAAATGCAAAGAAACCAAAGGCAGGATCCAAAAGAACATCAGCAGTTATAAAAACGTAATGAAAAATAACAGGCAATCAAATATGATCTTTCGGTCTTTCACTTATAAACCAACCAGACCTTTGCTACCTTTGCAGTTACGAAGGGTGTGGTTGTGCCTGTGATGCGCGGCATGTGCATGCATTCCGCCGCTTTCCTCTTCCCCAAAGACCTTGATGGAATCGGAGGAGCCTACCCGCGGTTGTTCGTCGGAGGAGCAGTTGAGTCCCTGTTTGCGCTCGTAGTACTGCGTTCCGAGGAAATCGAGGAGGAACGTCAAGAGAGCAGCCACCATGGTGAAGAAGCCGGTGAAGGGGAACTTGGACCACGGGAAGGCCTTGGCGGGAACTTGAACCTGGAGCGCTTCGGAGGCCTCGGAGAGCATGTGGACGAATCCCGTGGCCAGGCTGACTCCGGCGTCCGACGAGCGGGATGGCAATTCCGGCCATGCCGGCGAGGACGATGGAGGCGATGGCGACGAATTTGAGGACGAGCGTGGCGGAGTCGTCTCGGCAGAAGTCAGAGTCATGGCCGGCACAGGTGGAGTTGGTCATGGATTCCGGAAGGAAGTGGATACAGTGCGGCACCAGGGTACACGAATGGATTCCTGGCGATCTTTGGGTGCGGCGTGACTGGCAGAGGCGACGGGGGGTGGCTCCGCCTTAGAGCTCCGGTGTGGCGGCGGCAGGGGTTAGTGTCGCTGCTTGAGATGTTGCCCATGGAAAGGAGAAGCCCTAATTGTGAGATGAAAGGGTTCACGGGGCAGATATTAGAGTCTCACTTCTATATCGTTCATATATAAGCGAACCTGATGTAAAACAACTTCCCGATTCAATTTCTACATCGGTCAATAATAAAACTAACGTAGAATTGCTCATATTTACATTATTTCTTTTCTCAACTGATGTAAATATGTTTGCATTTTTTATTTATTTACAAGTTTGTTACCGCGTTTATGATTTATATATCGGTTCTAATATAATCGATGTAATATAGCAATGTTAAACAGTATTTTTCTAGTAGTGAACAAGTTTTCCTTAGTAGAAAAACCACAAAAATCTATAGGGTTGACTTCTCTCTACAAATTTCTTAGATCAAATGATGATCTTAGATCCCTCGGGAATTTGTTTTAATGATAAAAAAACTCAAAAAAATTTCATAAATTTTTGCTTTTAAGATCATGCAATAAAGACAATAATATAAGACGATTGGTTGTGATGATACGTCTTTTGATAAGTCTCTTAGATGAAACACTTTGTTTGTCTAAAAAGAATGCATTAAATATTTTATTAATCATGTTAAATGACTATATCATCTTTTTCTAAGTTATTTTTTTTAACAAATTGGAGGAATAAAAATTTCTTTGATACTTGAACTTCAAAAAGGAATGAAGATTTGAAGGATAAACATATATCTTGAAGCATGTGAAATCATCTAAAAAGTTATTTCTAACTGACACACAACAATTCCTCCTGTTTTATACCAAAAATGTGATAAGTAGCCTTCTTGATTAGATAAGAAGTGATAATTTGATGAAATGCATTTAATGCTTACATTTAATACATCAACAAACATCTTATTTTACAAGGAATGAAGATAAAGCAAATAATCTACAAGTGAAGCTCAAAGATTTGCATCGGTCATCTTCATCAAACACCTATGTAAAGAAGCTTGAAGAAATAAGAAAGAAGATAAAATAACTTTAACGATACGATTTTATTCTTTCTATGTAAATCTTTGTACTTAAAAGTTGTATCACATCTTGTGAGAAAAATAAAAACAATTATTATATCCTCACCTTACTTTAATTGTGTTTTAGCTTGAAGCCTAGAGATACTTTGTTGTAAAAATAATACTTGATTTTTAAGCTTGAAGAAACTTTGTAGTATAAGGAATACTTACTTTTGAAGCCTGGAGACACTTTGTTATTCAAAGAATACTTGGGTAATTTACTTGGAGAGACAAATCAAATAATGCTTAAGTTGAACTAAAAGTAACTTATGAAAGAATAGATGTATCTTTATAAAAGATAATTTGATTAATAACTAGACATATATAGATTTGGTTGTTAAGATAAATCAATATAAAAACTTGTTGTCTTCTTTGTCTCTTGTTTCGTCTATATTCCTTTAAGGGCTTATGTTACTACTTTACTTTTTCAAAAAACAAATGTTAAATTTTTTATTGACAATATTTAACTCCGATTCTAATATATTTTTTCTTTCACAAAATTAAAGCTCCATGAGACTTGATCAATTTGTTTCCTCAACACCATTCAACTTCAAAGTCAAATAAGGAAGCTCCTAGTGAAATTAAAAGAAGAATGAGACTCCTTTCGCTCCATAACTCCTCTCTTTAAAATTTCTCTTTAAATTTTTTAAAAATTAACTTATAAAGTTATTATTTTTCAAAAACCTTATATATCACTCATCTCTCTTGATTAAACTTGACATCAACTTAAATTTAACTATCAAAGATTTTTTAACCCTTAAAATTATATAAACCAATTAAAAACACAACACCACGACTCAAAGTATCACAAATCATCATAAACATATAGACATGCATAATGTTACAAGCATAACTCTTGAACCATACTAATTATTTGATATAATGGTAACAAACTTGATATAAAATAAATTATATTTCTATAATATTTATCGATGCAGTTCATCCAATAATTCACTTGTTTAACAAAATATTCATCAGTCTAGTACCCTACTCGAATCTATTAGCCAATCAGAATTTTAATACACTTGTTAAAAGGTGTTAATTAATATTCTTATAACATATTGATTAAAGTTATTTTAAATGAATGTTTACATGTTTAATTTTAAGTTAAATAATAATTTGAAATCTAAAATTAGTTTTGAGTTGAAACCATTTAAATAACTTTTGCCTTAGATTTTAAATTTTAAATTATATTATTAACTTAAATTAAAAAAAAACTACTCAAACATAAATTACATCATTTCAAAATTAATTTTTAACAAAAACTAATTTATTCAAAACCAATTTTAGAAACAATCACTCAAACACACACCATCAAACTAAAATATAAATCTAAAATTATATTATCAATGAAACATATAAAAAAAAATTTCTAAAGGAAGAAATTCGTGAATCACGTGTAGGCTGGATGGTTTTATTGTCACTGTCAGATTTTTTTTTTTTCAAGACTCAGAGCAGCCTTTCACACTCATTTAAATGTTCTGTAGCAATCGCCCTATTTCATTACTTTCTTTTTTTTGGTGATAATTTAATTACCTTACCTGTTCATTATTCAATGAGTTCACATAAATAACTAATAAGAGCCACACACGCTAAGGCCATAGCCATCACACCCACCGATCATGTTCTATTGTTTTTAGTTGCGGACCAAAAAAAGAATATTGTTATTAGTTGTGTCACCTTCTAATTATGGATACCACATGTAAACTCATTCATTAACCCTTTGCTGCTGTCTATAGTATAAACGATAGACCATGGGCTTTTCAAGTTCAACAACTCACCTCGAAGACCATTTCTACGCCCTAAACCATATTACCTATCTCAGGACAAAATAATAGATAAAGCTTCTTATATATAAAATGTACCTGTCTGAGGGTACACTCGTAGTCTTCTAGGGTGTAGGAGGGTCGAACGGGAGTTTTAGGTGGATTCTTCGGAGGGGGGAGGTACCTGCAAAAGGCACTCCGACGCTAAAGTCAGGACAAACACGAATCTCTAGGGTAATAATTGAACAGTGACATACCTCGTTACGTGTGACCTATTTATAATATCTGACATGGGTCTGAGCATAGTGGGCTTTTTCTGACACTTACCAAATTAGGTAATACGATGTTAATCAGCGGGTTACGCCTTAATCATGTTTCGTCTCTTATTAATCGGGATCGCTGTTCTAATTACTCTAATGACTTTCAGCCGGGCCAATACAGGATGGCCGAGACGTTATGTTCGGCATCTTGCCGAGCCGATACGAGAAGATGTGGATCTCGATCTTGTGCCGAGCCGGAATGACATCTGGCTTGCATCAATATCTGGTAGGACATGACGTGCCGGTCCACGTGGCCGACGGGATCCTTCCAGTACACAAGCCCCCCAGCCTTGAGGAGTGTAACGACACAAAGGGTAAATTTGTCTTTACAGTCGTGACGGTTGGTTTGAAGGGAGCAGTTATAATTGTTGAGTATTAATTGTAGGAATATGAGGAGTTATAACCGTTGGGTAATAAACGTGGGAATATGAAGGGTTATAACCATTGGATGAGTAACGGTTGGGTAATAAGGAGGAGGATTTGAAAAGTTGGAGATCGTGGGTCGTTAGATCAATTTGATCTGACGGTTCATACGCAAACGGCAGTTACCATTAGGGTTTATGGAAAGTGCTATAAATAGGAGTGGTGGGGACCAAACCCTAGCACACTTACTTGACTGTAAAGAGTGATTGCTCCGAGCCGACGCAGAGATTGTCTGCGTGCTTGCTATTGTCCGAGGCTATCATTTCAGTAAGGTACGTTTTAATGGCTGATTTTAATATAGGTGTAGAGGATAGGGTTTCAGAAGCTGGCTCTACTGGGGGTAGCAGGGCTAGTATTGCCGACGCGGGTTCGCATGAGTCTTCTCATCGCGAGCGAGTTGATTCTGTCGATTCGGGTTCACATGAACCGGCTCAGCAAGGGGTTTCGGACTCGGCAACGTAGAAATCAGCTAGTGTAGAAATTATCAAGGAGTTTGAGCAGTCACGAAGCGTGGAAGAGGCTTCTTCTCTTGAAATGATTGAGGGCCGACCGGATACACGCCGCGCCCGGCCGGGCACCCCTCGGGTTGGGCCCTTTTAA